TGATAAATAAAAATGAAAGCAAATCAGAGATGGTCAAGCAGAAGGCAAAAGATGATTTGAGATCGTTTGTCATTTATCAGGTAAACTGTGCATCTAAAGAGCAAAATTCAGCAGGTGAGTGTTTGTGGTCGTTTCTAGGAAAACTAACTATGATCCACTCAAATGCAGACGTTCTTTTCCAAATCTGTGTGCAGAGGCAGCAGCTAAAGTCGCCTCGAGGACTTACGGGATGTTGAAGAGCAGCTCTTCGTCCGCGTCGCTCTCCACAAACTACGAGGACAAAAAAAAACAACAACCAGTTATTTCTTCTCAGACACGTCGGCTTCAGTCGCAGCTTCTGATTTCTGTTTTATTGTTTGATTCGCTGACAGTCGCCAGATTCAAGGTTTTTCATGTCGCCTACTTACTGACGAAGAGCTTGAAGAAAGACAATGTTTACTTTTTTCCAGCTTGTCCAGTGTGAAGGTTTTTTATCCTTTTAGTTCCCAGAAATGACGGTAAATTGATTATTTTTGGGTTTGGGACAAAAACAGACCTTTGAAGGCAGCAGCATGAGACAGAGTAAATTATAAAAGATGTTATTCAGATAACACAACATCTGATCCTCCTCGCTTTCTCTGTCTGAGACTTCTTTCATTTTTTTATCAGTTTAAGGGTTTTACGTGGAGTTTTCTTTTCAGGAATTAAGGCTCTGAGAATATAAATCACTTCAATGTAAAACCGCTTGAAGCAAACGTGTGATTCGTCATAATGTGCAAATAAAACTGACTCAACGTGGCATTTTCTGCTATTTTAAAACATTTTATAGACAAATCAGCAATAAAAAAATAATCAGAAGTTGAAGTTAAAATAGACTTTTTCTGTCCGGTTAAGGTTTTGGATCTATAATCCAGTGTGAGTGGTTTTTATTCTAATCTTCAGTCAATACAAAGAAACACTTAAAGTTGACAAACTGCATTTCGACGGTATAAAACTGCTCAGAGGTGACGTTCATGATCAGTTCATCTGTTTCCTGGTTAAATATTCTGTCCATACAAAGCGACTAAACAGTGGAATAGTAACATTTGCAATCTTAAAACGTCTTGTTTTGTCTGACCAACCGAAATATATTCAGTTTTCTGTGGTGCGTGACAAATAAAAGCAAAATATTCTGACATTTCAGCAGCTTCATGTCTATTCACGGCTGTTTTGTGTCTCATTTTGGTCTGTTGTGGTCATCTTATATACCTTTGTTGTTATTTTACATGACTTTGGTGGTTGTTTTGCATGTCTTTGTGAGTTTAGCATATTTTTGTCGCCACTTTGTGGTTGTTTTGAGTCTCTTTTTGATCACTGTGCATCTCCTTGTTGTCATTTTGTGTCTTTTGTTCGTCATTTTGTGACCCTTTGTGCCAGTTTTGTGTCTCCTTGTAGTCATTTTACACATCATTGTTGCCTTTTTACGTAGCTTTGAACTCGCTGTGCATCTGAATTTGGTCTTTAGTGGCCAGTTTGAGTCTTTTGTGGTCATTTACAGCTCCTTTTACATCGTCTTTGGTGCTCGTTTTGTAAATCTTTGTGGTCACTTTCAAGTCTTTGCAGTCATTTTGAGTCTCTTAGTAGCCATTTTATGTCTCTTCCTGGTAATTTTATATATCGTTGCTGCTGTTTAACTTGCTTTTAAGGTTGTTTTATGTCTCATTTTGATCTTTGGTGTTTGGTTCCATCTCTCTGTGGTCGTTTCATGTCTCTTTGAGGTAGTTTTACGTCTTATGTTGGTCTTTAGTGCTCCTTTGTGTTTGTTTTGTGTTGCTCTGTCATTATTTAGTGTATCTTTGTGGTCATTTTTTGTCTTTGTGTGGTCGGTTAGTGTCTTGTTGTGTTCATTTTGTGTTTTGAGGTTGTTTTCTGTATCTTTATAGTCATTTTGAGTCTTGTGTTCATTTTGAGTCGATTTGTGGTCATTTTGTGTTCTTCTGTTGTTCTTGGTGTCTCTTTGTTGTCCTTTAATGTCTCATTAAAGTAGTTTAACATCTTATTTTGGTCTTTAGTGGCCCTTTGTGTGTCTTTGTTGTCATTTTGTGTCTCGCTGTGGTCCTTTAGTGTCGCTTTGTAGTAGTTTTGCGTCGCTCTGTCATCATTTAGTTCATCTTTGTGGTCATTTTATGAATCTTTGTGGCCACTTTGTGTCTATTTGTGGACATTTGACATGTTATTGTTGTACATGTCTCTGAGGTGGTCTTTGGAACCATTTTGCATCTCTTTGTGGTCAGTTAGAGTCTTATTGTGTTCATTTTGTGTCTCTCTGAGGTCGTTTTCTGTATCTTTATGGTCCTTGCGGGTCTATTTGATGTCATTTTGTGCTCTTCTGTTGCTCTTAGTGTCTCTGTGTGCTCCTTCAATGTCTCTTTCATGTAGTTTAACATCTTATTTTGGTCTATAGTGCTTGTTTGTGTGTTTTTGTAGTCATTTTGTGTCTCTCTGTGGTCCTTGTGTCTAGTTGTCTTTGTTTTGTGTCGCTTTGTCATCATATAGTGTCTCCTTGTGGTCATTTTAAATCTCATTTTGGTTTCTTGTGGTTCTTTAATGTCTGTTTGAGGTAGTTTTACATCTTATTTCAGTCTTTAGTGTTCGTTTGTGTCTCTGATGTCGTTTTCTGAATCTTTCTAGTCATTTTAGGTCTTGTTGTGTTCATTTTGGGCCTATTTCTGCTCATTTTGTGTTCTTCTGTTGTTCTTTGTGTTTCTTTAAAGTAGTTCAACATCTTATTTTGATCTTTAGTGGTCCGTTGTGTGTCTTTGTAGTCATTTTGTGTCTCTCTGTGGTCCTTTAATGTCTCGTTGTGGTTGTTTTGTGTCGCTCTGTCATCATTTAGTGTCTCATTGTGGTTATTTTGTGTATTTACCTCCCAGCTGAACCTCGAAGCTTAGTAAAGTTTAGTAACTGCGCAGCCGCACTGCGTCGCCCTCAGCGGGCTCTGACAGCAGAGCTGCCCGGCGGAGAGGCTCCGCTCGGCCGTTACCTTGTCCCGCTCGTTCCGCTGGTCCCAGGGCTTGAACACCAGCCTGCCGTCTCCGTCGCGGCTCTCGTTCAGACACTGCAGCTTCTCCAGGTCGATCCGCCGGTACAGTCCGTACTCCAGGCCCCTTTCCGCGGGCTCGTGTTCGCCCTCACACCCGCAGCCGTGTCCGTGGCCGTGACCGTGACCGTGGCCGGACATCGTGGAGCTGAATCCGCTGCTCTCCGTCCCACAGTACCGGGAGAAATGAAGCAGAGCGCTCCGTCAGAGCGTTTTTATAACGTCAAGTGAGATCAGCAAGTTTCAGTTCACAGCGTGAAGCGGAGCGACGTCCGCGTCAAGGCGCCAGAAGTGACGACGAACTGACGGGGAGAGACTTTCAAAGTAAAACCAGCTGCTTCCGTTAATGACAATTTTACACCTTTTCAGTTCAACGCGCTTCATTAGCGTGAATATTATGTTAATATTACCAAAGCAATAATAATGATGAAGCTACAAAACAAAACAAACAAAAAACAGACAATCAAAGCAACAACATAATTGTATTTAGTGGAACAAACAGACTCATTAGGCCAATAAAAAGAATATAGTTAAAGTAGAACCATTATAAGAAATCAGTTAAATAGTTTAACTGACTCTATTTGACTTTTCGTAGTTAATACTTTATAATGAAATGTTTTATAAAAGTTTATAACGAAAATCTAAACTATTACATTTAAAGCAAAAGTTACCAGAAATACACTCTTTTCATATGAACAAATTAGGAAGCGTGTTTTACAAATCTTCAGTTATATTATTGTGTATTTTACCTGTATTTATCCACACAAGTGGTAATTTTATGTGTATATTTCAATTTATTGCTGAAAACACTGTTGCCCCATAGCAATTATCCTTTAATATATTTACACTTTAACTGACTTTTAATATCTTCGAGAGCACTTTGTAAAGCAGCTCCTTCAGCTTTAAATAGAAATGTAATGGAACGAGTGCACAAAAGGGATCTAAGATGTGTTCCAACACACATTTTACTTTAAAGAGAATTGTCCCTCACAGGAAGTCCTCCTCTGCAACATTGCGGCCACTTTACCTTCACGAAGAGCAAAACAGAAGTGGTCCGCTCTCTAATTGGTTCAGTTTCTCTGCCACCAAACGTCCAAAGTGTCGCAAAAACGTTTCGTCACGTTAATATAAGATATTCCATAAAAACAGACAAAAATCAATATAAACGCTTTCATTTTCTAATATCAAGAGCAGAAAATGTTTATTATGAAATCTTTCGTTTCTCAGAATGTTTATTCGTTGATGTGTAACCTGTATTTTGTTCCTTTGAAGAATAAAAGGTTCATTATTTCTTTCTTTCTTTTTTAAAAGAAAATTGTAGAGAAAAAATATTGCATTGAATATTTAAATTTAAAAATATACATATATATCTTTCTTACCTTGTCAGTCATGTTGAGAACCAGCAGGGATATTTCTTGGTTTGAGGTTTACTGCTGCAACATGAAGTTGCACAATTGCACAAACAGGAACTGCTTTACGCCAACACAATAAATAACAGGTTTCATTGCCAAAACACTGTTACTTTTTAGTTATCAGAACATAAATGCAGATTTTTGCATTTTAGCTGCCACATTCACAAAAAAACAACAATGCTTTCCATTAACAATACTGACCAATTTCAGTGTAACGTGAGAATAAATGTCATGTTATTTAAAACCTTCAGGACAGACGGGCACTTAGCACATCTCTAGTGACTGTTTCTCCATATTACTTTTATTCATTTTATACTTTGTATTTAAAAATGTTTTTCTCTCACTTAAAATGGAGGCTTTAAATGATTTTTTTCTTTCTTTCTACACATTATATGCTGTATTTAAAGCACTTTAAATTGCCTCCATGTATGAATATTTTGTAATTTGAATAAACTTGCCTCACTTCATCTCGTCCTCTGCAGACTTTGTGAATCAGTAGACTCATTTAGACAGAAATCAAACTGTGATAATCATGTTCTCAGGTTGGATTTATGTTGAACAGATCACAAAAACATTTCAACACTGACAGTGTTTAAGGGCAAAAAGTCAATTTTAATAAAAATGACCATATAACATTTATTAAAATCTAATAAAATTACAATTTTTAATCTACTTCCGTTCGGGCCCATGTTGTGGGGTGTCAGGTCCCAGTGTTGAAAATAAATACATCTCATCATCATCATCATCATCATCATCATCCTCATCATGAAGCTGCAGACGTCCCATTACCTTCCTTCCTCGGCTCTCGTTCAAACTGTCACAGTGAAGCAGATAGAAACAGCGACGCACACATTCGACAGCAGGAAAACATGATCTGAAGCCACAGCAGGGTTAAAATAAGTCATTGATATCATTTCAGCCCTACACACTGAGAAATGCACCAGGCAAAACATGATTGGTTTCCTTTAAAAAGCGGAGTTTCCCACCAGCCAGCTGACGTCTCGGGTGTCGAGCATCATGCAAGAGACAGAACAACAAGTTTTCCTACGTAGTGTTTCGTTTTGGTCGGAGACGAAAATAACCAATGACTGTTGTTTAAATTAAAAGTATTTACTGTTTGACACTTTGGGAAAAATGCTCATTTGTTTTCTTGAAGAGACTCAGACGAGAAGATCGCTAACTTCTCTTGTCTCTGTTTGATAAATAGGGCGCTAGCGGCTGGTTAGCTTAGCTTAGCACAAAAACTGGAAACAGAGGTGAACAGCTACTCGTTTTCTGTTAGACGGTGACAAAATCTGCCTATGAACATCTCTACAGTTCACTAATATTTGCATTTTACATGAGGTTATGCATCAGTGTTGCATCTACAGAAGGTCCAAAAGATGCATACGGTTGTCCACTGGTTTGTACATTACTTAGTGAAACCCCACATTTTACATTTAGCCATTGCCATTTTGGATTTTTGTAACCGGACGTGGTAAGTGGGAGGTGGAAGAACCCAGGCACACCCATTCGACAGTGACTTATCCATCACTAGCTAGCTTCACCCTCAACCGTACTGGGCTTTATCGTCTATTTTACTCTAAATTAGTCCACAATTTGCCAAAATGAACATCATGCTGTATTGAAGGGGACTTTAAACAAGCGATTGAGATCATAAACTCATTTGGAAAATGTTTACAGAGGTTATAAATTAAGTTGGAATTTTCTCATAGACTTCTATACAATCTATACTGGTTTGCAGTCAGATAAGTCGCCCCCTGCTGGCTGGCAGAAAGAATGCAGGTTTAGATTAATTTCATCACTTTACAGACTCAGAGGAGACACTGTTGCAGTGATGTTACTTCATTCTTTAAAACAGATGAAAGAAAAGCAAAACTTGAGTGTATTTGGTGGACGTTTTAGCTCAATTTCCAGCCTCTGCAGTGTCACATTTTCAAAACAATCACGAGTAGACATGAGGTTCTTGGCTTTTCCATGTCCATCCTTAAAACTGGAGTTCAGGATAAATCAATATCTGTTACAGTCAGCGTAAATGAGTTCACATTACGCTAACTGAATCCTTGACTACACTCTGTTGTAGTTGTTGTCATACTACTTTCTAGTTTGCTTGAAGGACTCAGTTCCATACATGCACAGTAGGCGTCCAAACCAAATTTTGCAGATTCGGGGAGATGACAAAATTGTCAAGTGGGCTCTCGTGTACTTGTGGACATAGAAAGTATGAAACTGTCTTCAGCCAATCAGCACCAGGTATGTCTCTCTGTATTTTGCACTAAAAGCGACGCATCAACTGGCAATGAAAAGGAGAGACGCGGTAACTCAGAGTACGATGAAGCCTACGTAGAAAAAAGTTTCTGAGGCTGCAGATAAAAAAGAAACTCAGAGTTCAGAGGAAGGAATACGGTCTAAAAACCAAATCAATCAGCATACTTTTTAAAAAGCACAAATTGACAGTATTTGTGTAATTACCCTGACTGCCAGAAGGGGGAGACAAAAGCAGGTTTAAAAATTGGAAAACATCTAAAAATACCGACTGAAGGGCAACGTTAAAAAGTGAAATTGAAAATTAAAAACCTTGCATACGACTACATCTTGGTTGGCTGCTTCACCAAAGAGCTTATAACCCTGTAAATCTACAAATTGCTGTTTGTTTTTTTTTGTTGCTTTACTTGTGAGTACAGAATAAATAACATGTTTAAAGGTTCTGTTTCCAGTCTTTGAGCTAAGCTACGTTAGCCAGCCGCGGGTGAAACAGCGAGACACTGATCTTCTCTGATATCTCCGAGCAACAAGTAAATCCCCCCCAAAAATGTGCAAGAGTTTGTTTAAAATCATCTCCTGATAAACAAGAAAAGGTAACAGACTGTGTGTTTGTGAGTTCCGTAAAAAGTTGTCTTTTTTTCCTTTTTCTTTCTTGACGTGTTTTTCTAAACACAAACCATTTGACCGTCATTTAGGATTTAAATACTTAATTAACGGCACCCCGACACTGAAGTCACCACAAAAAAACAAAACAAAGGAGGAGGAAGAAGGAGAAGAAGAAGAAGAAGAAGCCAACCGTTGCTCCACCAATACTGTAAAGTTCATGTGTGTGTTTGGTGGGTGGAGATCAAAGTGGAGGAGGGTTGTGTGTGCAGGGGGGGAGGGTTTCCAGTAAAATTTAACTCAACTTAAATTAAAAACACAGTTGGAATTCATGAAATACATTCAGTCTCTTTCACACTATCGGCGGGAGAATCTGTTCTTGAACGCTTTGATAGTTTTGGCCATCATGGGGGCGATTTCTGCAGGAGGGACGACACAGTTTAAGAGATTTAAAGGAGCAAATACTGGAGGATTCTTGTCTTCTTGTTGGTTAAGGGAAGTTGACTTACTTTTGACCTGTGGTTTGTCCCGGGCAGCGTGACCTCCTGCTGCTGCCGCTGCTCCTCCACTCGGTGCTGAAGAGCGAGACGATCCAGGCGAAGGGTTGAGTTGGGAGGAAGAGGAGCGGCTTGATTCACCCGAGTAGTCTGTGGCGGGCGCCCTTATTCTGAAGGAGACAGGAAGAAGGACAAGCTGTGTTGAATATATGATAAAACAAAAAATACTGGAAGTTTTAGTAGACTTTCTGCGTGACCAGCTGATCAGCAGTTTTGTTAATTCTAGTCGTATTTATTCTTATTTTATTCTTGAACTGCGTACTCGACAAAACACAACATAGAACAGAAGAAAGTACACCGATGTGAAGTATCACTTAAATGTCAGATGGTTCAAAACTGTATCACCTCTCAGTAATAACTAACTTCTTAGTTGAACAGTTGAGTATTTGCTCTGATATGTAATGAAAAACTTGCAGTCTAGATTCCCGATATTAAAAATACAGCCCCCACAGGAGGAACTCGACGCAACAAAAGTCACATTTCAGGAAACTAAACCTCCTCAGCATGAAGGACACCAAAGATGTTCTGTCATTCTTAAGAAAATGTTGTTTCCAGCTTCTCTTTGCAGGAGGAGTTGGATTACTCAACATTTCTTCTTTAAAATACTTCAAAGGCGTACTATTGAATTTTACTTTATTGTTGTGTAGAAATTCTCATGATTTTGCGCTTTGAATGCTGGAATATTCGTCTTCTTCAAGCTTCTGTAGACTGAGAGTCATTTTGTCAGCCAGTATTTTTATTTATCCACAAACATTTGTCTATAAATGTCATCTACTCAACAGCTTTTGCACTTGCAGCTCCACATCATCACACTCCCACCTCCGTGCTTCACTGTCGTGGTCCTGGTCAGCTTCACATCAAACATGCTGGACTCCATCCGATCACAGATTCATCTTGGTCTCATCTGACCAAAGAACGTTCTCCAACATTCATCAAGTTCTTTTCATGTTCTTCAGCAAAGTTAACCTCTGTCTTTTGTGCCGAAGAGCAAGCAAAGGTTTATTTCTTGGATGCTTTCAGGAGAAGCTGTCGTTATAAAGTGTCCTTCACTGTCTGAGCTTCACAGAAACTCTGATTTCCACTGAAAACCCCTGGACCAAGTCTGAA